GTCCATTAAGACTTCATTTAATTCAAGTTTCAGCGAAGAGGCGGCGCAGAAGCGCCAAGATCGCTCCTGAACTGCTGCAGCCAGCGGGCCGAATTCAACTCTGGGAAACTGAAACAACGGGGCCCACACGGGGGCCTCCAGCGGCCTCTTTTGCGTCATTGTGAAGATTGTTGAGTTTCAAAAAAGATAAAATGCAGAATTAAAGCAAATAACCGCCGAAGACCACCGGTCACTTACGAGGCGTCTGCGCTCCGGTGTCTGCGCATACACCGCAGAGCGCCCGAGCTGCGGCGCCCGCCGCGTTGGAAGGGAACATTTCAGTTTTAAAAAGAAATTAAATTATCTGGAGTTCGTCTTGTTTGTTTTTTCATTTGTTTTCCATTTAGGAACGGAAGACTGGGCAGTCTCGCGCTGTGCGGCGCAAGGGAGGCGGAGTTGCACAGCGCCGCCGCTGACTGCCGAAAGAACGCGCGCGATCCTCCGGGAAACCCGGCTTGTCTGTGGAAAAAGAGGCACCAGTCTGCAACAAAAAAAGTATTTAATGCAATTAAAAGCATTTAATTTACAGTTTTCCGCGAAATAACGGCGGCGGAGTCGCGCAAAGACCGCCGCAGCCCCAGCCAAGGCAATGTCTGCTCTGGCCAACCCGTAACGGGGCCGTGGGGCTCAGGCCTCTCTCTGCAGCAAAAGGCAAGCTGTTGTTTTATTATTCGTTTTGAAGCTTCAGTTCCTGCCTTCTGATGGGCTCGGAGCAGCAGCAGCAGCAGCAGCAGCAGCAATTCTGTCGCGTGGCGCATGCAGCGCGGCGACTCTGCCTGTTCGCTGGCCCTCGGGTCTCCCCCCGCCGCCGCCGCAGCAGCAGCAGCAGTGACATCGCTGTTTCTCCGGGGCTGCCGCTGCTGCTGCTGCTGCTGCTGCTGCCGCGCTGCTGTACGTACACCGCAAGCAGCAATGACGCAGCAGCAGAAACTGCAGCTCCTTCAAAATGAATAAACTTCGAAGCTTTTTGCGATCTCCGAAGGAGAAGCGTCCAGAAGCTGACGGCCTCGAGACGCAGGTTCGCCAGGCTTCTGCTGCTGTTGCTGCTGCTGCTGCTGCTGCAGCAGCGGCTCAGCACGCAGACGACTCCCCGGCTGCAGCAGCAGCAGCAGCAGCAAAACAGACAGACCCTCCGCCTGAAGCCGCAGCAGCAGCTGACCAGACAGATAACATGCCTGCTGCTGCAGACTCCCATGCAGTAGCCGATGGAGCAGCAGCAGCACCAGCAGCAGCAGCAGCAGCAGATGCATCGTCAATAGCAGCAGAAGCAGACGGGCGCAGTGAGGCTGATGGAAATCAGCGCGATGGCTCTGCTGCTCCAGTCACGGCTGGTGCTGCTGCTGCAGTGAAGCCAGCAAATGCTGCTGCTGCAGTGAAGCCAGTACATGCTGCTGCTGCAGTGAAGCCAGCGAATGATGCTGCTGCTGCTGCTGCTGCTGCTGCAGGCCCCTCTTGTTTGCGCAGCGGCTCTTCTGAGGGCCTTGGGGTGTCTCGACAGCTGACGCGGAGTGTGGGGTTTGCGAGACAGGACAGCGCAGTGCAAACAGCAGCAGCAGCAGCAGCAGCAGCAGCTTCGGGGACAGGTCCCACCGCAGCAGCAGCAGCAGCAGCAGCAGCACCAGGAGCAGCAGCGACCGCAGCAGCACCAGCAGCACCAGCAACAGCAGCGTCACAAGACGCAGCAGCAGCAGGAGCTTTGCGCAAAGGGCCGCCCTCGGAAGCAGCTGGGCCTGCAGTAGCAGCAGCGTCAGCATCAGCAGCCCCTGCAGCAGCACCTGCAGCAGCAGCAGCAGCACCTGCTGCAGCAGCAGCAGCAGCAGGGTCTGCAGACTATTCAAGGGGGTTTTCTTCTCGGCGTTTGGACTCTCGGTTTTCTGTTGCTGCTGAGAAGCAGTTTATAACTCGGGGTGTACAGACAGCGTGCCCGTCGAGCTTCGCGAGCAGCAGCAGCAGCAGCAGCAGCAGCAGCAGCAGCAGCTGCCCCCGACACTTCCCCTTTCGCCCCTTTTCCCATTTGGCCCCTTTTGAAAGATTTGCAATTCCAAAAGACAGCTTCACGGACTACTGCGGCAGAGGCAAACTAGTTGGTAAACAAATAAATAAATAAATTAATTAATAATTAATTAATTAATTAATTAATTAATTAATTAATTATTTTTGTATTTTTTTATTTATTGGTTGTTTTTTTGTTTTTTTATTTGAGGTGGAAGGCTCTCAGTGGGCAGCTGCAGCAGCAGGGAACCAAAGAGTAAAGACAACAAAACAAATTAATTAAATGAATTAAAGGAATTAAAGGAATTAAATAGATTAAATTAAATGAATTAAATTAAGTTAATTAAATTAAATATAAATAGAGTGGAGGTGAGGCGCTGCGCAGGAACGAAGCCGCACCGTCCGGGCGGCGCTGCTGCTGCTGCTGCTGGCGCTGCTGCTGCTGCTGCTGCTGCGCTGCGGCTGCCGCCTTCGCTGCTGTTTCTTTCCAACTTCCGCCAGGAGAAGATCCATCCTGCTGTTCTCCGCGTGGGGCTGCAGATGGCCTGCAGACGCATTGCTGGCAGCAACGCCAGGACCGTCGCCATGCTCACAGGTACCTGCTGCTGCTGCTGCTGCTGCTGCTGCTGCTGCTGCGGCTGCTGCGGTGGCGGTGGGGGGGTGGG